TGGAGCCATCTATGTGTAAAAATGATTACTAAATCAAACACACAGTGGGTATGGTAGGTTCGCACATGCCATCCCCGACTGCAGGTGGTTAACCCATTGGCGCCAGGTGTCACGTACGTACATGCCATGGCTGTTGTGGACCAAACGCCGGGGGCATCATGCCATGCCCATTCCCGCGCTACTGGCTCGTCGGACGGAGGTTCTTTTTCTCCACTAGTAGCGGCTTCATTTATATGGTAAAGATTTTATGCAATGGCACCTAAAGTGAAGGTAAACCTTCAAAATTTTAATATTTTTATAAATTTTAGCAAAATAAAAGCTTTTAGGTGCTATATGTTGCTCACAAACTACCGATCGAGCCAGGCGCAAACTGCCGGTGCACGCCAACAAGCCGGTGCATACGTAAACTTGACAAAATTTTTACCCGTCGCTGATGGGTAAATAGACTAAACTCACAGTGGGTATGGCATATATGTACATACAATGCCTATTGGAATTAATAACAATAACAACAATAATAATAATAATAATAATAATGATAACAAAGACAGTAAAAATAACAATAGTAATAATTATAACAATAGTAGTAATATTAATAATAATAATAATAACAATAATAATATTAATAATAAAAATAACAATAATAATAATAATAATATTATCATTATTAATATAAATAATAATAATAATAATAATAATAATAATAATAATAATAATAATAATAACAATAATAATAATAATATTAATAATAACTATAATAATAACAATAACAATAACAATAATAATAATAATAATAATAATAATAATAATAATAATAATAATAATAATAATAATAATAATAATAATAATAATAATAAATAAATAATAACAATAACAATTATAATAATAACAATAACAACATTAATAACAATAACAATAATAACAATAACAAAAATAACAATAACAATAACAATAATAACAATAACAATAACAATAACAATAACAATAACAATAACAATAATAATAATAATAATAATAATAATAATAATAATAATAATAATAATATCACTACTACTAATAATAACAATAACAACAATCTTCATCACCATAACAATAATGATAATAATAAAAAGTATGATGATGACAATATCAATAGCAAATCCAAAGGCACCTTCACTTTTTTTTTTTTTTATGAAAATAATAGCTTTTTGGTAACTAATTTTTGCCAGCAAACTATAAAATGAGCCAGGCGCAAACAAGAAACTGCAGATGCATGCAAACAATACGTCATTATCCACTAGTTAAATAAATAAATAAATATATAAATAATAATAATAAAAATTTGGGCCATAGTGATCAACTGATGCAGTTTTATGCTCAGGATTGAATTATTGCAAGAGTCCCGTGAGTTTTTCGAACTCATATCATACTTAATCAGCTGGATCGGGGTGCCTCAAAATCTGGGCAGCAGTGTGACTTGTAGACCTGACCCACACTTTTGTTCAATACCAAGACTCCTTCTTATTATCCACATTCTGTTTTGCAATTTCCCAAGGTATATATTTGTCTTTTGTTATGTATCAAGATAGTACTGAACTATTTTCTTTGAGCAGACAAAATATTATTTATACTGGTAGTCTATATCTATGTGCAATAACTATTAAAATAAGTAACAATATGCTACTTCAGTTACTCTTTCATTCAATTTTCATTACACACCCTCCACCACCAGTAAAAACATGCAGGAATAGCTAATTACACTTGGAAAAAGGATCATCCCAACAACTGGCACTTTTCCGAGCATGAATCATCAACTTTACATTCCACCCTCATCTATCAGTTGATATAATGCAAGTGCCCATTCCTAAAGGACCAGCAAGTCCAATCTCACCCCAAGAGCTTTGTGTACTCAAGGAATGACATCCACAGCAGCCACAACTCAGCAACGACATATCATGATGGCACTCCCGTCATCCCAGCCTTCAGCCCAATTTTTCCAAGACAGCAAATTCCTGTTGCTCACAATCAAGATTCAACAGCTTAGTAATTAATTCTGCAAAACATTCCTTCTTTATTATGCTAGTTGGGATCAATAAGAGTCCACTGATACCAAATATGGTGTGTTTTAACCCACTTGCAAAAGTACATTTTCTAGCTGAATATAATATTTTCTGGGCAGCTTCAAAATCGACACGCAGGCGAGTCCAGGAACCTGCCTGCGCATCCCCACCACGGGTGACAAAATCAGAGCACAAGCTCCGATCGAGCATCGTCCCAGTGGGACGCCGAATAATGTAGCACTTCAAATTCTATGGCACTTTTTTTTGTTTACATTTCTTTTGAAAACTAATAAAAAGGGCAGTAGAGAAGATGTAAAACTCAAAATTGCCAGATTTCCATGAGATTATATATGCAAGGGAAAGCAAATGAGCCAAAAAGAATTGTATTTGGTCATGATGTCAAAATAGACAAACAATAGAAACCAGTAGAAGCTGCCAATAGAAGTTAAACATAGGGGAAGTTAGTAAAAATTTAAATGAACTGGCTAGGATGTGCATAAGGTAGAAAAAAAATATTTCCAAAACATCAAAACAATAATGTAAAGAAGGATCTGATAGCAGTCTTAAATTCCAGCCAATAGTGAAAGGGTCGATCCTGCTGTCTTACAAGCTGCCCATCCTAGAAATATTGTTTCAGGTAAGAAATTACCCAAATTGGTACAAGGTCTAGATAATTGCCATGGCTTTCTTATACCAGAACATATGAAGATTTGGCAGACCAGGTGGTGGTATGGGTAGGGGGGGACCAAATGAAAGGGGGATTGGGGAGTGAAGCCCTCTCCCCTTGATATAATATAAACATGCCTACAATAACTAAGTTATGGAATGATTTACATAAACCTTTCCTTTTATCCTGCAATTCTTTGGTTCATTTCATGCCTACTCAGCTATGGGGCTCATATCCTAGCTATACTTTGCCTGCAACAGGAGTCTCCATGCTTACCAAGTTTTTAATCATAACATACAACATGCCCAACTAGAGTAATGTCTAGTGATTAACCTTGGCCTACCTCAGGCCTTTACCACTCAAGTAATAACCAATAAACCTGCCACATGTATTTCAGCATATACCAATATGCTGAAATATAACCAATAATTTTTACAGTAAGGACAACCTCCCCAGTGAATAAATCCCCAACTCCACGTCATAAAATTCATTTATTTAATCTAAGTTACTATGACTGGGGGTGCCCTTCGACCACTGCTGAGAGGACAGTTAATGGGGTGATCCACCCAATACACCCCTGCAAACACTGTCCTTACTTTAGGAGTACCAAATGGATTTTGTGAACAGCACTTTCCACAATTTTTTCTTTAATAAGAGGAGCTACCATTTGTGTCTGTAGATTATTTCTTAAACTAATTAATGCGTCTTTTTGCCCTTTACAAGAATATCATCCTCAATAATTCATTACAGTACTAATGCACTTGCCAGATTAAGTCCCCAACTCCACATCAAAAAAATTATACATCAATCCAAGTTGCCATGACTGGGCTCTGCCTCCATCAACCCATGGGAAACATTGTCTTAACCTCATATGCACAGCAAGATAAAACTGAAACTCGGGAGCACTGAGTGGACTTTCGGTTATCTTTTTCCTTTATTTGTGGCATTATTGTTCGTGTCTGCAGATTATTTCTTGTGCCAAAGACTGCAACTTTTTGGCTTCTACAAGAATATCCTATTCATTTTGCTCTTCCTTTGTGTGTCAATACCATAAAGATTAGCCTCATCCTCAATTTTTTCCAAGCATAACCCACTTACGCGGGTATATTTTGAAGTTGAAAATATTTTCCAGGAGGCTACAAAACTGGCACACGGGGCCGGCCTGGAATCTGCCCACATGCCCGCTGCGGCCTGCAGCGTATTCGGAGCACAAGCTCCGATCCAATGTCACACTGGCGGAGCGCCTGGGTGTCTCATATATGGGACACCCGTCGTAGATGGGTTATTGAATCCTTACTGTAAAGATTATCCAATATAGCTTGGGCTGCTTCATGATTCACTTTCTAGGAGCAACCAAGGCCCACAGTTTCTATAAACTGTTATGACAAAATTTCAATAGCATCTGGCATAAACATTACTATGGGCCATTGCCAGTGGATTCTGAATTTTTGAAACATCTATATGTTTGAAAAACAACAAAATGAGATAGTATGGCTATTATAGCTATTTTGCTGATGTAACACAACCTTTAGATTGTTACTTAAAAATCTATTGAACTGTTATATTATTTCATGGCAAAAATACTACTGAAGAGAATTGTTTTAAAACTCATGTACTGCTTACCTTGCACTATAGGACAGTCTAAAGCTGAAATAATACCCTATCAACTAAGAACACTGTCACCTGCCACTTGTTAGCAATCCTCACAATTTTATTCCATTCTATTTCAGAACTTACAATTAGACACATGGTAATGGCAACCCCACCAACCCATTTCTCAAAGTTACTGGTAAACTAACCAAGCACAAATTCCTTGTGCACTGAGCAAGCAATGAGGTTCATACCACTTCTGCACTACACACCCTCACTACACATGCATATCCTCACTCATCACTGTATTAAACACACACATACACACAATTAACACATTATTTGCCACCTACGTATACACCTCCCCACACCCTTGGCCACACCCACACACACACCACTGTCTCGCCGTGCTCCCCAATGTTATGGCAAAAAAATCACATGTCTTCCACTCTCCTCCTTCCCTTTCCGCAGCATGACAGTCGGTGTGATGACCCCTCACAACGCCATGACATCCTGCATGACATCTATGACATTCGCCCCACACGATCCGCGACACTTTGGAGCGGAATTAAGCAGCTTTTGGGACATTTTTAACGAATTAGATATGACTTTGACAATGTTTTGGTGCCATCCAGGGTTTGTTTTCCCTAATTTCACGAGCGAATAATCACCCCTCCAGGAATGGCGATGGCCTTCACACATACCCCTTTGGTCAGCTCATGGACTTCATTCATAATCTGATCATATTCCATCTTCCCCTCGGCTTCCTTTTGTTGTAATAACGCGATCTTTTCCTGAAATTTTCTCGGGGTCGCCATTTTGCACTGGAGAAGAAATGTTTGTTGTGTTCCAATAATGTGATGTGACTCCAGGGTAAGCTAAGACTCTAGAAAATAATTAATTTGAATCTTCTTATGGAAATATAGATTGGGGGATATAATTTCTTATATTTACTTCACATTTTGATGGGCGAGGGGGAGTGAATTGTAAATGAAGCATATTTCATCTTTATTTGCATTTCATTATTCAAGGTTTATTGCAATGCGTAATTGTTTAAAACCAAGTCCTCAATGACCTAGGTATTTCCCCACTCAGGATACAAACCAACAAATTCACACAAATGCGAAAAATATTGCTTAAATATCGAGTGAATATCCCCTAATAGATAAAATGCAAAGGCTTTTGTTATCATCTCAAGGTCAGACTCCCGTTTTCTGTGAGTGCGAGTCAGCTGATCAGTGAGAGTGATCCTCTTGTCAGGTTACACTGCGAGAGCATCCGAGCTTGTACAGTTCTTCGCTACGATTGAGGATTTATTTGACCCAGAGACTTTACATAGTTCTCGATTTGGTAGCAGGAGAGGAAAAGGAACATGTTGAAGCCACGGACCCTTACCCAGATCTTGAGTCAGGCCAACACAGGCGGTGTGCAAAGTGCATTGTAAGTGCCAAGTCTAGGGGAGGATCCCGGTGACACTTCACAGACAGGGTCCATTCGCGATATGTCATTTAAGGATATTACAGTAAGGCAGGATTAGGGAATAGGTGTTTCTTTTAAGATTTTTATTTTAAGTATTTTAGATTATGACAGGCAATTGGAAGAAATAGTTTCTTCTTTTTTGTGGGCAAAGGTAATTGGACTTGTTTTCTTAAAGGCAAGGGTTATGGAAACTGATCTGTTTCTACATGATGATTTACTTTCTTGTAGGCAAAGAATTGGTTCCTGATCCTAACCTAACCTAACCTGTTCTGGTAATCTTTGGCTCCATTCGACTGCATTCAACAACCTCAATCTCGATTTGAGGAGGTATTCCGGTTGTCCTAACCTATTCTGGTAATCTTTGGCAGTACTCAGCTGCATTCGACAACCTCGATCTTAATTTGAGGAAGTATTCCGGTTGTCTGTTTTTGCAGAAAATTTTCTGCAAATAGAGAAATAGATCTGTTTCACATGATGATTTTTGGGCTAAGTGGCACAGATTTTTCAATTTCTATTACAACTTCATTTCTCAAATCACCTTTAGCATTAAGTTTTGATGATAACATCTTTGGTTAACTTAGAAAAGGTGTAGAATTCTTCTTAGGTAGATATGGTCAGAACACATCTGTTCATTTACTTCACCAACCTTCAGTATTCAAATTAACAAGTCTCTGCCATCCAACGGGCTTTGGGGATCCACATTGTTACTGTATATTCATTACTAAAAATACATTAAGAAGAGTTTTCATTGGGTGTCTTTAGACATTGAATCCCCAGTAATTATTTTGGTTAATCTGTATGGTATAGACACACAAAGCAAGGGCAAAGAAAAAGAGGACAAAAAGTTGCAGGATTAAAAAAATGAATCTGCAGACAAGAACAGCACCAAACAAAGGAAAATATTCAGAATACCTTCGTATAACCAAGCATGAAGATAGTGGTATTTACAGGTTCCTTTCACTTTAATACCTCTGTGTGTGTGTGTGTTGTGTGTGTGTGTGTGTGTGTGTGTGTGTGTGTGTGTGGTGGTGTGTGTGTGTGTGTGTGTGTGTGTGTGTGTGTGTGTGTCTGTCTGTGTGTCTGTGTGTCTGTGTGTGTGTGTGTGTGTGGTGTGTGTGTGTGTGTGTGTGTGTGTGTGTGTGTGTGTGTGTGTGTGTGTGTGTGTGTGTGTGTGTGTGTGTGTGTGTGTGTTGTGTCTGTGTATGTGTATGATATATATATATATATATATATATATATATATATATATATATATATATAT